AGAAACCGACATTGAAAATAGAATTTCTGAACATGGGCGCATGGCCATGAAACGTCTTTACCGAAGCTTACCGTTATCTGGCCTCCGGTTAAGAAACGGCTGAAGCTTTGTTTTATTTGCCAAAATAGATGTCGCTAGCTCATGAGTGTGCACCGTGATGCTCCGATATTCAAGTTTTGCTGTGTTATGGTGCGAGCATATTTTCAGTTAAAAATATATTTTCTGAACGGAATTTCTGGAAAAAAGCGACAATTTGTTTCGAGTAAAAAGAGTGCTTTTTTTGATGACAGAAATTGAATTACCTTGGGCATTTCTCTTCAACTTAACTTTTGATTTCAATGGAATCATATATATACAGTATTTTATTTTTTTTTTTACGTGGTAGAGGCATTAAATTGATTCACCTGAATAACGTTTGTTTCTTTTTCATACAATTTCAAAAGAAAGATGTGAAAACTACCGCGGTCGGTATAAGACGCAATTCCCGGGAAACAATTTTAAACTAAAAGCTTTCGCCAATATCGCTAATTTATTTCAAGAAAATTTTTCAAAATTCTCAGCAGATTATTCTTGCATACGCGGAAGCGAATTTGTTCCATGCATAATATTACTGTTTTTCATTTCTCCATCATAATCAAGAAAGGAATCAATACATGTTAGTTCCTTTTCCTTACTTTACAGCGAATTCTTGGATGCTCACATAATTATAATGTTCACGGTACAAATGTCGAATTTTCTTTTTCTGTCAAACAAAAACGCTGAAAATATTTGCACAGATTTTTTTTCAATGGTGGAAGATTTTGCATGTGATCCTTTTTAGTTCCAATGGAATTTTTTTTGTGCTGCGGATATGAAAATTTTGGGTTAGTATAGTTTTACAAGGTTATTGAAATGTGGTTCCTTGATATTATTTCAGCGATTGCGAATAACTACAAAAAATCTTGAAGTGACATAATTTTCCTGTTTTGTAGAGACATTTTACGACTTCTTTCACCAACGAGTTTTGCTCATTTTTTCATCTGAAAAAAATTCAAGAAAACTATTTATGCAATATCTTGATTTTAAAATATTTTTAAAATTTTGATACAACTGTATCAAACTGAGTATTTCTGAAAACAAAGAAAAATTCCGAATTTCTAAAATAAAATCGGAGAAATTTTCGGATTGAAAAAAATATAAATCCGCCTTGATTTTTTTGTCCAAGTCCTTTCTTATTCGACGAAAAACTATACATTGTTTTCAACGTACAGTATTTAACCGTGCTCACCGTCATTTTTTCGACAGGAAATCCGGTTTTGACATTCTCGTAAAAAAAAAAGACTCTAAAATACATTCCGCGATTATCAAAGAAGTGAAACAAAAATCCGTGGTTCGTTGCACTGATGGAAGATACGTCGGAAGAACTCGTTCGTCGCAAAAGCTGGTTACGACGATAAACAAGACTTCGAAAGAAGTCTCTTTGTGAATATTTTCCCCCACAAAAAAAAAATTAAAAAAGAAAAAAGAAAGGAGACCATTTCCAGACCATCCCAACATTTGCTCTACTATTACTTGGAAAGAATCCGGAATCGGAAGACGATTCAGCGCAAAATCGCGAGAAAATCACCCGTTCCCTGATCCTCCTAGCTGAATATCAATAACACTCCACATCATCGTCAACAAATAATTTACGGTACAAAACATCAAGAAGAACAAAAATGCGTTTCAAGTTCTTCCTGGTGCTCGTTTTACTGAGCCAAGCAGCGACGATTTGTCGTCTCGAAGACGACCTGGACACTTCAGACGCAGTCTACTTCCCGCAAATCGTGGACGCCAACGAGCTCGTCACGTACGGCAACAAGGTCGCCATACTTGCTCCGCCGATCCGCTCTGTGGCGCAGGGCAGCAGCACAGAGCCGCCGTCGAGTCGCCTGAAATACCTCACGGAAACGTTCTATTCCACGCAACCGGAAACGAGCACTTCCCGGATACGAGGACAGGATCATCAGCAATCGTCTTTGTCAGGATCAGAGGCTCTGCTGGCCGCACAGGGAGATAATTCAGTGGAGAAGCAAGTTTTCAGCTTGCCCGTCAGAAGCGGCAGGACTAGACAATTTCAGGAGGCGAAAATCCCGGCTTTGGATGAATTGCCCTATGTGGAGCCGGTTTTCTTTCATGAGTCGGTTTACCAGCAGAAACCAGCAGCAGTGAGTTATGGAAATTTGCGTCATCAGGTTGTGATGAAAAAAAATTAAAATTGCATTTCATTTTACAGGGAGAGGCATTGCACACATAAAAATTAAAAGGATTCTGATGTGATGGAATGTGTTTGGATATGAATGTTGGTGGGGAGGGGAAGGGGTAAGTATGTGGGAACATTGCTTGAACCAGCTTGTGAATGCTGAAAAGCAAAAAAAAAGCTTGCTGTTCAATTGAGTTCAATGGACAGGCCATGATGAGATGCAGAATGCCATCATATGCCCAACAGTTCAATCAATAGAAAACAACTTTAGTCATCACTTTTCATGTTTGCCAAAATATTAAATAAGGTCTTCAAATGTTAACTGATTAGACTTGTTTCTCCACTTACTGATTCAGAAAATAGCTGCTGTGCAAAAGAAAGATATGAACGCTTGAACTTAGCATACAATCTTTATTTAAGAAATTCAATGAAAAGTCTATTTCCAAAATCTTAGAAGACCAAGATCACCTGGCTACTTAATATGATTTCTCATCAAAGATTTTCTCAAAATTGTTCAAAAGACTAAACCTTATCTGGGAGCAGGCTGAACAACTTGTGATTTAATTTGGGTTCAGTTATTGCCTTATGCTGCAATTCTTATGACTGAAAATTTTGTTTTTGTGGTTAGCAAAGGCAAAAAAGTGTATCTACATCACCTGTGCTATTTTACATTTTTGGATGTAATGTACAACATTTTCTTTTAGTATCCGTAAACAGCTTATTTCTCTATTTTCCATTCTGATGTGATGGAATGTGTTTGAATGAATGTGGGTTGGAGGGGGAGAGGGTTTGGATGAAGGAACATTGCTTGAACCTTGCTGTGAATGCTGAAAAGCAGAAAATAAAGCTTGTGGTTCAATTGAATTCAATAAAAAATAATTTGAACAGTGACCTAACAGAAATACATCCAATGAATCAACTAAATATGCACAAAAATATTTTTTGGCTGAAATTTGAATTCCAATCCCAAGTTTTTTCAGAGTTGACAAAAAATTAAGCAAAAGAAATCTCCCAAAATAAGAATACTTTTATCGCTGCTAGTACAGAAATATAACCATCAGAAATTGTCTCAGAAATGTTTTTAAAATATTAGACTACTTTATATGTATTCCACAAGTAATCCCTAAACAAATGTCTATGTGCTTTTGTTCTGTACAGTATTGTATTTGAAAAAGCTGTACCTTCTTAAAATTGACAAAAATTTCATTACTAAAAAAGGGTAGAGATGAAAGTTTCACTCTTGCCATTCATGCAATGTATACCAACAAACAGTATTTCATCAAATAGTTACTCAAATGAAGCAATGAGGCTTTAAAAAAATACATCACACAACCCATAAAATTTAATTTCATTTATTTTCTACAGAAGGCAAGTCCCACTGAGAAACCCAAGAAGACCATCATCAGGAAGAGACCAATCAAGAAGTATTTGAAGAAGCCTCAAAGTGTATCAAGAAAACCATTGGATCATGTAGCAAGTGGCAATGAACCAAAACTACAGGAGTCTCTCAAGATTCAGCCAGTTGTCAAACAGCAGAAGCAGCTGGTTTTCCAAGTTCCCAGGAAGGAATTCAAGTTACCTGATTTCAGACTCAGTCAGAGCAGTGAAAGGGTTGAGTCTTTCAAGCAGCTCCCTTTGTCCCCCACATTGCTCAAAGAGGGATCCACAGGTATTCTAAATTTTTTAACTTGAAATAAATGGTGTGCAGTATGGTAATGGACATTTCATTGTCAAGTAACTTAACTGCTAACATTCATGAAGCATCTGCATAAATTTGGAATCATTTCTAAGGAATGCATTTTCCAGGTAAAATATTGCTTCTTCCATGAATATGTCATTTACTCAATAACCTATGGGATATACAATAGTACCTGATGCATATACAGTATAGTAAACCATCAATGCATTATGGGTTATACCAGGATGACAGAGCTTTTTCAGTTATATTTTTTCAAAGCATGTCTCCTATAATTCTTAATGATTTTTCTTTTGGGAAAAAACAAATAGGTTTCCTCAAGGAATACCTAATGCATGAAAAATAATTTGAGCTTTTAAGTTTCACAAAATCAAGCTTCAGCCTACTATTGTTTCAAATCTTGAAGAGATTGAGCATGACAGAATGACCTTCTAAATTCCAGGCCTGGTAACCAAGGGTTACTTTGAGGATTCAGATGAAATCCCTGGTGATCCTGGCAGGGATTATCCAGCTTACAACACTGTCCCAAATACAAACTTCAAGTGTGGAGACCAAAAATACCCAGGTTTCTATGCAGATGTTGCTGCTCGCTGCCAAGTAAATAATTTGATCTTACTTGACATGAATCACAAATTTTGATAACTTTTTTATGTGAATAATTTCCAGGCATTCCACATTTGCCAGAGTGATGGGAGAGCAGATGGTTTCTTGTGCCCCAATGGCACAGTTTTCAACCAGCAGTATTTCATCTGTGACTGGTGGTACAATGTTGAGTGCAGCCAATCAGAGTCCTTTTATTCCCTGAATGCTGTTTTGTATGATGAGTCAGCTTATTTTGGTCAAGTCTGAGTCAAGCACTTTTTTCTGCTAATAAGTGTAAAGAAAAATGTTACCTTTCAGCCCAGGAAGGCTGCATCAGGAACTTTATTCTTATGCCATCCAAATAATGACTGGTTACCACTTTTGTTGCTGTTTTGTTCAGTTTCCTTTGGGAGTGTGTTTGATGATGTGTGTTGAATGAATTGGCTGGAATCACTTGGTTGTACCATTTTGTAAATGCCTCAGAGTCAATGGAATTATGCCTCTCAACTTTTGAACAATTTATTTCACACTCTTTATATGGTTTCACACTCTGTATATGGTCAAGTCATGGAAGTGCATTTGAGGACTTATACACTCATCACTCATCATGAGGACATATGATTGGAAAAGGTGGAAGAAGAGGAAGAATATGCTCCATCTGCAGTTTTTTCATCTTCATCTCCAATAGGAATGTTGACTTCTTGTTCTATGCCCTCAGGAATGATCCTGTAGTGATGTGATTGGTCTGTTGGCACATCACTGAGACTTTCCAAATTACCTGGCTTGTGCTCCATCCTTTTGGCGCAAAATACTGCAACTTTTGCTTTTGATGTGGTCTTGTCAAAAGGTTGTGTCAACCATCTAGCTTTCCCCTGAATTTCACTGTTAGATTCTGCAAATCCAGACTCAGAGGACTCAGAGTCCTTCAGGTAGCCATAGTCAACAGGACCAAGAATATTTCTGAGACCCAGTGCACTCAGTCTGGGAACATGATGGACTGCAGATTCTCCAACTGCCTCTGATTTGATGAGTATGTTTTTTGCCTTTACTTTGGCTGGTAATGGATGTTTTGATGATGAGTGCTTGCTTTTCCTTATTGCAGCCTCTTCAACAGCATCAAAAAGTGGTTTGAACTTTGGGTGGTCTTTGAACATGGCTGATAACCTTGGGACAGCAGGTTGAGGGATTTCAAGCTTTTCTTCTTCCTCCTCTTCTTCATCTTCTCCAGCAGATGACACCAAACGTTCAGTGGACAAAGGCCTCAAAACACTTGATTGTGAGTTGCCCATGTGAACTGCATTTTCAGACTTGGCAAAACTAGGTGTTTGTTCACCAGCAGACTTTGGCATGAAGCCTGTGAAACCAGCTTTGGGTGCAGAGGAGGATTTTGACAATTGAACCATGCCCATATCCATCCTGTGTTGCTCTTCAGCAGCATCTGAGCAGATGCAGGTTTGTTTGAATGCCTTGTCAGACTCGGCTTTGCTGAGGTTCTCCCACATTGAATGCTTCTTGCAACAATCCTTGGAATGTGTTTTTGATGCCTTTTTTGCTGCTTTATTCTCAAGGCCAGATTGTGGTGGAGTGGGTGAATCAGGATTCATGTCATTCTTTAAACCAGCTGTGGCAGGAAAGACTTCTTCAATGCCACCTGGACCACCCAAAAAGCTGCTGGAAGAATGTTTTAGGGAATTTCTGGCATCTGAAGGAGTTTTGTCAGCTGCTGAGTTGGAGCATTTCTTGACACTTGGGTGCTCAAGATGGAGTTTTGAATATTCAACTTGATTTTTGCCACCTGTTGAAGGAGTTTCAGGTTCATTTATGAAAGGGCCCAAGTGTTCTGATCCAAAAACTCTAAGGCCTGTGAGATGAATGGAAGATTCCTCAAATTTTTCTCCTAGATTTGAGCTGGCATCAAGAGTCAGGGGTACAGGAGCAGACTTGGTTGACTTTTGAGCCACATTTTCTGTCATGCCTGGTGCTGCTGGAGTTGATAATGACTTATTCAAGGATGGCCTGCTTTTTGTGTCCCCTGCTGGCTTATCTGGAATGTCTGGAGTAGATTCCACATTGTAGTAAACATATAGAACATATTTCAACAAAAATAACATACCTATAATGCCCACAGACTGGTTTCCTGATGTTTGAGACTTCATGTCAGAGTTGGGTGCAAAAATCACATTGACAGATTGATTTGCCTGAGAAGCTGTTGACTGCTGCACAGCAGATGTTGGGGTGAATCCTGAGTGCTTCTTTCCCTCTGGACTTTGCAATGCATATTCATCAACATTCTGAGAGGTTGGCATGGATGAGATGGAGTTCTCAGAATTGCTGGGACCCTGGGATGCAAAACCTTCACTTGAACCTTGGCTCAAGTAAGCAATTTTCCCAGGCCTGTTGTGAATGTCAGTTGTAAGCTGGCTATTCATGTGATTGGATGTCACAGAGCTCTCAGGCTTGACATTGATTTTCTTGAACCTAGCAAGTTTTGTGGCAGCAGAGTCCTGGGAAACTAATCCTTGTGACTTTTCCAGTGCTGAAATTTGAAGCTGATTAGAAGACTTTCTTGCTGGTTTCAAGGTTTCCTTGCTGGTGTCTGCTTTATTCTCAAAGTCCAGTATTTCTCTTGCATCAATATGATTTGCCTTCCCTGAATAGTCAAATGAATAAATGGAACTTGGGACTGGATTTTCAGACAGTTGGTTATCAAGTTGTTTCACAGTTTTCTCATCCTTTGGGACTCCAGATGATTCATCTCCTGTGGTTGGGTCCATTTCCTTTTCTAAAGCCTGTTGAGACATTTCTGGTAAATTATGCGTGGCTTGACTCAACTCCTGATTTTCAGTCACTATGTTTCCCATTGATTCTGCTCCATCAGTAGAATCTTTATTGTTGGAAATGGGCGGTTTCTTTTTTAATCCACATTTAGCATTGCAAGTTGGCAAGCTGAGGCGGCTGACTGGCAGACTCTGAAAGAGTTTATTGAAAACTGCTAAACCATTTGTGGCTGCTTGCACAATTGAATCCATGGCAGTTGTAGTAGCAGTTGTTTCATCATCTTGAGGTTCTTGTGGAGGTCTTTGTTCAGCTGTGTACTCAATAGGGCTCACTTGCCCAAGGGTGCTGGATGGATTGCCATCAATATTCATTTCTTTGGTAGCCTGTGTGCCAGTTTTTCCAGTGTTAGTTGTCCCAAGGAGGCCTAAATTATCTGCAGATGATTTCCTTGAAGTTGATGTGGCAAGATGATCTTGCAGGGCTGCAGCAGATGAATTCCAGTTGGCAAAACTCTCCAGAGATTTGGCAAGCATTGCAGGGGACTTTTCCAAAGATTTCTGAACAGATGTCTTCATGGATGCAGCTTTGTTGCTTTCCTGTTGGACATTGTCTGAGTTTTCCTTTTCAGAGGTTTGATCTTGGTATTTTGGAGCTTTAAATGCTGACAGAGTCCCAAATACTTTGGCATGACCCAATTTTATAGGATCTGAAACCATTTGCTCTTTGATATCTCTATGCGAAAAGCCTTCAGCTGAAGTAGATGTGGTGGAAGTGTCAGGGGAACCATGAGGAACGTTTTTATCATCCAAAGGCTCCCAGGTTGGATTTTCTGCCAATTGCTGATTTATATTTCCCTCATGGGACTCATTGCAAGCCTTTGGCCCAGGGACCTGAGATGAAGATGGAATTCCACTGCTGAATCTGTTTCTTTCCTCAGAAGAATCCTTATTCTCTCCTGGCTCTTCAATCTCATCAACTGCATCTTCATCAACAGCTTTGTACACTTCAGAGTCATGCTTTTGTTTCAAGACCTGCTTGGCTTCTTCATTTGCAACTTCAGACTTCTGGCTAGATGATGAAGTTTTGACTGCAGATCCAGGTGACTTAGTCCCCTGCTCAAAAACATCAGCTTTGGGTGAAATCTGGTTGTCAGGATCAACTATGTAAATTGGTAGCATGTGTTGTGGATCAATGACATCAGAGTGCCTTGCTCTGCTACTGTGTACATCTTCCCTCAATGGAGGCAGAAGAGTTGCACTTTTTCCTGTAGAACATTAAATAAAATAGCTTTGTGTCAATATTTTCAGGAAAAGTTAGGAAACTAACCAGGCAAGTTTTGAGCCAAGGCATCAGCATTGGTGGCCATTGTGTCTGTGAGAGCAGCCTCTGAAATTCCTTCATTGAGCACAGTTACAGTGTTGGTCTCTTCAGTGTGGCTCAGTCTGGTTTGAGAAAGAGCATCATTTTTATCCGGGGATTCAATAATGTCAAAAGGCTCCATTTCAATGTATTCTTCAACATCCTGAAGGTTATCAGGAGTGAAATTCTTTACTGGAACCATGTTCTGTGGCAAGATGGTAAGGCTGTCTGTGGCAGGCTCAGCATTGATGATGGTTGGCTTAATGTCTTCTTGGACTGGCTTGTCTAGCAACAAGTGGCTTGTTGCAGAAGATTTCTTCATGTCAGTTGGAGTTGGGATTGTAGTGGTCTCTGGCATCACTGTGTCTATGATATTGTGTTCACTTTCTTTGACTGATACTGGTTGCTGCTGCTGCTGCTGCTGGGGTTCCATCAGCTGACTTGCTGATGTCTGTATGCAGTGACTTGTTTCATCTGGTTGCCCAGAAGATGGTCTGGATTTTTGAACCTTGAACTGACTTTCTAGCTGGTCTTTTTGCATTCTGGCAGGTGCTGACACTGTAAGTTGAGCAGATTCCTCACTTGCATTTTTCTTGTCACAGGGCACATTTTGACAACAGCAGTCATCCCTAGTTTTCCTTGTAGGTTTGCATTTCACCTTGAATCCATCCAGTGCCATTGGTGAAGGGCCAAGTGAAACAGGTTTATGGACAGATTCAGACATCTTGGGTGATTGTTGGTCTTGACCAGTTTTGTAGACCATTTGCATATTTTTGGGATCCTCTTTTTGGGATTTATCAGGATGAGTAGAAATGATGTGCTGGGATTCAGCTTCCCTCCAGAGCATCATTCCTGAGAGCTGAAAACCCCCAGAAAATGGCACTACTCTAGTTCAACAACTATCAGAATATAAATATCTTACATTTCCTCTGTGTTGCTGGAGCTTAACAGGATCAGGATCAGGTATATTAACACATTGCAGTACTTTAAGCTCTCCATTTGGGAAGAAGGATGGTGGCTGACTTCCTCTTGTGGTATCAACATCACCAGAGTCAGGCTTTGGATGTGGAAGTCCTGGGGAAAATCCAACCATTGTCCCAGCAGCATCAACTGGCACATTATAAGTGCTGCTTGGTTTTTCTTCCTTATTGTTTGTTTCACTGGCACTGATTTGTAAGCCTTAAAAATCAAGAAATGATTATACTTATGAAAAAATATGTATATAAATATTCAAAGATTTACCCATGCTGCTTGGTTCTTCATCTGCCTCAATCATGTGAGTATTGGAATAACTCACAAAAATAGCACCAGAGTCCTGGGTGGAGGAATGATGCACAGCATCTGAATGCAGGGCATTAATGTCTTCATCTGGAGCAGTTCCAAATGCCTCAACTTGAAATATAGAAAGGCAATCAAACTCATGAAATACTCAAATGATAATCTTGGTGGTTGCGTTTCATACTGCGGGTGGTACCCTGAAATTTGGGTACTTTCCTGTTATCTCAGTACCTCATTCCTAGACCGCACTTCCAGACAAATCTTTAGGACAAGTTCATAATCATGACAACCTACCCGAAACTGAATTTTATTTTTCTGCATTCTGCTGAAACTGATTTTGGGAGGAAGGGAAGGTACAGAGATAACAGGAAAGTAGGTACTGAGATAACGGGAAAGTACCAAAAATTTGACCCTACTATCTGTTGCTGGACTAGGGTCAAATTCCAAAATGGTAAACTGGCAAGAGGCTGCATAGAATGAAGAGCAGCACAAAAAAAAACAAGAGGAGTGGCTGAAGCAGGTCAAATTGCAGGGCAGATGTAGAAGTGCAAGTGAACCTCCCAGGAAATTTGACTGTTGAATTGTGGGACAGAAACTTTGTGGGTGATCAAATTTGCAAGGTACCACCTGTACAAAGTTAACTTCCTCCCACAGATCATAGATGAATTTTGAAATAGATTTCAGCTTAAAACATATAGCTTGCATATAGCAAAACATGTAAGTAAAACAGCTCACCTTCCATGTCCAAAAAAGCGTTATCAATCAGATGATGCACATTATGCATTGTTCCAGATATTGCTTCATTTGTTGCTGTATCTGAGGTTGGTGTTGGGGGCTCAGTCAAGTCAGTCTTCTGAATTTTGGGGAAGAAGGAGGGTGGGTTGGTGGGATCCTTGTTCAAAGTGCTTGTCAAAAGTGAGGTTTTCCTGTGCATCATTTCCTGTGGTAGGTCAACATAATCCGCTGAAAATCCAGCACTAGTATTCTCTTCTTCGCCATGCTCAATTTTTGGGAAGAAAGTTGGTGGATTACTGGGACTTGAATCAGCATCAGAGCTTGCCTCTTCCTCAGTGGTGGGTTGTCTTGCTTTCTTCACAGCCCAGTTGGAGCCTGTGTTTCTTTCATTACTGTAAACTTCACTCAGGTTAATTATGTTAGATTGAGGTTGTGTTCCTGCAGCTTGTGGGGTGTTTTGAGAATCCTGAACATGAGTGGAAGTCAATACAGCCAAACTTGTGGACATCTTCCTCAGCCCAATTTCAAAGTTGTCTACATCATCTGGTGCAATCCTTTTTGGATGAGACCTCAGGAGTGTTTCCTGATCTGGAACATGGTTCAGGTAATATTGAGGCTGGGCAGGTATTCCCACTAATGAGTCAGTCTTTGGATCATAGATTGATACTGTACTTGTTGCTGGGTGCTGATCATCAATGGTTATTCCTGAGCCAGTGGCCTCCTTTATTTGAAGATGCATATCATTTTGGCTGGCATTTGGTTTCTGTGAAATGTTTTTCATGTTGTTCCCCATTTCAGATTCAGAGTCAGAATAAGCCACCATGGGTATTAAATACACAGGATCAAGTTCACTCTTGAATATTAAAGGAGTCCTGCCTGAGTTTTGTAAAATTTCTTCAATTGTACTTGGAGTTCTACCAGGAGTGGCTGGTTCAGATCCATCTATCAGATTATGTCTCTGAACTGGAGGTACACCCATCATGGACCCAATTGCAGGCCTGGAATTCTTGAGTTTTTCTTTCAATTTGCTTCCTAAAGTCTTCACCTCATGAAGAAACATTGGTGTTGTATGACCAATAGACTCAGAGTCAATCTGAGAGTCCACAGGTAAGCTTGGAGGCACACCAAGCATTGAACCAATTGCTGGACGTGGGTTTGGTTGTTTTCCCATAGGCTTCTTCTCCAAGTGAATATCTTGAACTAATGATGGTGTCCTGAAGTTAGAACTCATCTCAGATATTGGTTGCCTCTTGGCAGCTGGAACCCCCATCATGGATTGTATGGCTATCTTTTGGGGTGGTGCATACTTCAAGATGGGTCTCACTGGAACATCTTCAAAAACAGTTGGAGTTTTACCACCATCTGGGTCCAAAGGTTCAAAACTGTTTGTTCCCATCATGGAATTGATAGCTGGCTTTGCTTTTGAGATTTTTCCCACCATATCTTGTCCTTGAGGATGAATATCTTGAACTAATGACGGTGTCCTAAAGTTAGAACTCATCTCAGATACTGGTTGCCTCTTGGCAGCTGGAACCCCCATCATTGATTGTATGGCTATCTTCTGGGGTGGTGCATACTTCAAGATGGGTCTCACTGGCACATCTTCAAAAACAGTTGGAGTTTTTCCACCATCTGGCTCTCCAAGTTGAGAACTGTTCATTCCCATCATTGAATTTATAGCTGGCTTTGCTTTTGAGATCTTTTGCATAATATCTTGTCCTTGAGGATGAATATCTTGAACTAATGATGGTGTCCTGAAGTTAGAGCTCATCTCAGATACTGGTTGCCTCTTGGCAGCTGGAACCCCCATCATGGATTGTATGGCTATCTTTTGGGGTGGTGCATACTTCAAGATGGGTTGCACTGGTACCTCCTCAAAAACAGTTGGAGTTCTACCACCATCAGGTTCCACAAGTTGAGAACTGTTCATTCCCATCATGGAATATATAGCTGGCTTTGCTTTTGAGATCTTCCCAACCATATCTTTTCCTTGAGGATGAATATCTTGAACCAAAGATGGTGTCTTGCTTCTTGGGTCATCCAGTTCTGAATAAGTGTCAGCTTGTTTCAGCCTAGGTGGTACACCCATCATAGCCCCTATCCCTGGTCTACTGTTGGGGTATATCTGAGAATATCTTGGAAGACTTTCAAATGGAGAGGGCATTCCTGTTTGTTGGGTATACTGCTGGGAACCTTCTGATCCATAGATTTCTGCTTCAACTCCCATCATTGAATTTACTCCAGGGCGACCATTTGCTTGCAACAAAGTTCCTCCAGGATGTTCCAGGTGGATATCCTGCAACATTGATGGAGTTCTACTGTATTCGGTTGCATTTGAAGCATTATCTGGTTGCTTCAATTTTGGTGCAGTCCCCATCATGGATCCAATGGCAGGCCTTGGACTGTACCTAGGCTTAGCATAATGTAGCTGAATAGCCCCTGAAACTGTTTGAGAAAAACTTGACAGTGGTGTGAAGGTTCTCCCAGTGCTGACTTCTGATGGTTTAGCAGATGCTACTTCTGGGTCATGATGTGACCTGGCTGTTTCATAAGAACTGGAACTGTATGCCTCAATAGGAGCACCCTCTATTTCTACTGCTGAAAATGCAGATGGAGTTTGGTACAAGGAAAGGTCAGAAGTGGCATCATGTGCAGGTTGAGACAAATAGGGAACAGTTCCCATCATAGCACCAATGCCTGCTCTTGGTGGAAGCTTGGTACCAACTGGTTGCCCAAGAGTGTGTATGTCATTGAACATGGTTGGAGTCTTTGAAGTTCCAGAAGCAGGTTCAGTGACATTTCCAGGTTTCTTCAATTTTGGCAGAGTTCCCATTACAGAGCCTATGCCAGGCCTTTGATTGGAAGACAAACCAACTGGCTGTCCTATAGTTGGTACCTCATGCATGAGTGATGGTGTGTGATGAGACCCTTGCTCTGAGTCTGAAAATGTTGCCTTCTTCAAGTTGGGAACTGTGCCCATCATTGAACCAATACCTGGTCTTGGGTTCATGTGTGGCCCATGTGGGTTCCAGGTTGTTGGCACCTCTTGCAGTATGCTTGGGGTGTGTGTCATCCCTTGTTCAGTTTCACTTTCATCAGTGGTTCTTCTAAGATGTGGGAGTGTGCCCATCATTGAACCAAGTCCTGGTCTCTGGTTGGGCCTCCTCCCAATGGGTTCCCCTTGCACACAAACTTCCTCAAAGACTGTAGGTGTGTTTGTGTGAGTTTGGTACTCTGAAATAGGATATGGCTTCTTTAGATTTGGAGGCACTCCCATCATTGACCCAATGCCTGGTCTGGAGTTATTGCGCCTGGTTGAGTCATTGTCAGTAATGACATGTCCAAGATTTTCAAATGGTTCTGAGTGCTTTAGAATGGGTTTCAGAGGAGTTATTGCCCCAGATGTTGCAAAAGACACTGTCATGGAGTTATTGGAAGGAACATATCTTTGTTGTCTCTGCATTGTAGCATCAGATTCTTCATTATTTGTGTACTCTGGCATTACCCATCTTCTTTCAGGCTCTTTAAGATGTCCCATCTTTGAGTTCAAAAGCATTCCTCTGCTTTTCACAAAATCTGAACTCATTTGAGATTCCTCTAGTCTGGAATTTTCAGTCCATGTTCCAGTCAGGGGCTCTGAGGTTTCATGAGACTCCCTTTTCATTCTTTTGTCAACAATGATCTTGAACAGCATCTCCAATGCTTCAGCCCCATCATACTCAGATTCATCAGTGATATATGGTCTCTTGGCAGGTGGAAAAAAGGATGGCTGAGGCGTTTCCATTAGCATCATAGATGAGCTTTCCTTGAGATGTGGTGGCCTGGCCAGCTTTGGAGGTATTCCCATCATAGATCCTATAGCTGGACGTGGATTGGTCCTTTTAACTTTTTGCCGTGGTGTATCATCCACTGGAGTGACAATGTTTTCATAAAAATTGTTGGGGGTTTGCTCAGAACTGTTGCTCATTGGTTCAGTGTTGGCATGAAATGGTTCATTCATCTTGCTGCGCAAAGAGGACAAAACTGAGCTGAGAGCAATGAACTTTGCAGTTTGGGACTCCTCTGAATCTGAGGGTAAACCTTGGTCTTGGAGTGCAACTGAAACTTTGCTCTCCTCCAGAATAGAGGTTGTCTGCAAAAGTAATCCAAAATATTAACACATTTTGGAGAAAAAAATAATTGAAAAAGTGTCTCACAGTTTTCATATCCTCTGATCCAGGTTGACTGCTGATGGGATCAGACACCAAGACATGGTGAACAGAGGTGACAATATGGCCTATGCTTGCCACAATTTCTGGAATTTTTGTGTCAGATATGTAAGCCGGTGTGACTTGGTTCACCTGGCTGGAAATGTCAGACATTGTGGGGACTGTAGTGTGCTGTGAGACCTCCTCCATCTTGGTAGACTCAGTCATGACTGGAGGCACAGACACCAATTGCTCAGGTGGGGCTCTTGGAGTTTTTGGGTGTACAGTATCAGAAGTCAGCAAAGAGCTGATATCCGCAAGTTTGGCTTCCTTTTGCAGAGGCTTCTAAAATCAAGTATGAAATGCATATACTTAATTTCTCAAGAGTAGCATTTTGCCATCTTAGGTATAGTATGTTATGTTGGGATATAGGTTATTTTTTCACCATGATAAAACAAAACCCAATTCAGTACATTCTTATAGTCATGGCAAATTTTGTGGCACCAAGCAGGGGTGGCTCTAAAATGGGGTATATAGTAACAAAAGAAAATGTGTTTGAGGGCTTTTACTACTGATAAAACAGGTTTTTTCTCAAAAGATTTTTGAGACATTATCTGTTTTATATAATAAGAGAAATTTAAGTAAGGTAATTTGAGGATAACATGAACTGTTTTTACTGAATTGAAATGTATGTTTTAGTTCACAATGTGTCATATTTTTGCTTGGATTTGGTCAAGTAGAAGAGTGGAACTGTTTTTTTTTGCAGTTTTGTATCAATCTTTCAATAAGCACACAATTCCAAGATCAGTTGGAGTGATTTTTAATTTTGCATAGAGACTACTCCAAGCATTGAGATGCTCATAGCTGTTGAAGACATTCAGATTAAACCAAGCAATAGCATGTAAAATCAGATATTTAATTTTAAAAAATTATCCTAAGCAAGGGCACAGGATTATCAGTATTACTAATAACTTAATGAAATATGCCTTAACTTGTATGATTTTTTGCCTGCTTTTCATCCAGGACAGGAAATTCATGTGAACTTAGTGGGTTGGTACTAAATTAGGGTTTCCCTTAACCCTTGGATGGCAGAGGGTTCTTTCCCATCACCGGCCAAAATTGGATTATTTTTGTATGCTGTGGCCTTTTAAGTTTTCAGAAGGTCAGAAAAGACCTCCCAGGTGGGCTGAGGCAAAGTCAGGATTAATCCAAGAAAATCCCATTGCTTAGCATAGGATTTTTTTCATTTTCCCATGAAATTTTTCTGTGCAAAAAAAAAAATCTGATTTTTCCCTGACTTTGTCCTCAAATCCCCTGTTGCCTTTTTTATTTTCTGCCCTGAGGTGTAACGCAACTTTGCAAAAATAGTCCAACTTTGCCACCCAAGGGTTAAGAACACAATGGAAGAAGATTCATTCCAGGGAAATCAGAGGCACTATATGTGGGAGAGGCACTAAATATTGGGGGCACTGAATCAAGGGTTGACTGTACTGTGTGTTAGTAAAGGATTTCATACTGTTTGTTCTTCCTTTTGTGAATGTTTGAATCTCCATTGATTTTCTAAAGAGCCTGAAAATGAGTATTGAAGTAATGGACAAACCTTTTTTGATGATTCAGTCTTGGACACTTTCTTACTCCTTGCAGGAGTTTTGATTGCATAATATGTTTCCTCATCAACCTTCTTGAGCTTCTTTGCCACCATTTGGCCAAACATGGAGGACTCTAACATTCTTCCAACCTTGTTTTCAAATTGTGCCAAAGCAGTGGCCTGTACCAATGATGGCATTGGAGGGATGCCAGGTGGTAGCATATTTGGCACCACTGATTCTGCCATGCTGACCAGAGGCCCAAATGCCATGCCTGGATACTTTCTCTGAAGATTACATGTCTTACACCTTTTACTCTTTTTAGTCCCAGGGGGACCTTTTGGCTTCTTATCCATGACTTATAGTGTTGTTAAGTAGAGTAAAATGTAAGTAAGGGGTAATGTGTATTTGGGCGAAAAACCCATTGAAAGACAGGCTTTGTCCTCAGGTTTATTTTTTGCGGTGTCTGAATGCATTATTTTGTATATAGGTACTCAGTGATTGAACGACCTTCACATGATTCCGTGGAGCGTGAATATTAAGTACCAATTTTTCTGTCTGGTGGGACAAGTCGGAAATTATTACGGAAATGAATGGTCAATCATTCGATGTTGATAAGATGATGATGATGGCTAGACCCGTGCTTTGTCTTTATTGCCCAGCTTTCAAACAATCAATTGTAACCACATTCCAATGAGTTTGAGAGAAAGCAGGAATCACTTATTGTACAGTACATGAAATGAGGTTAAAGCATCAGATTCACTGACAAAAAGCACATCAGTCATCATCCATCAAAAAAGCAGCCACATGCATGTGGAATAATAATGATTTCTGATTACAACTTCACTACCAAGGGATATGAAGAATGGACCTGCTCCTGCAATCATGGTCTCGAATTTCGACTAATTCCTGGTTGTTTTCTTCCTGCCAACGTCATTTCCGGGAAGACCTTCATTTTCCCTGCGATTATTATTTCGTTTTTTTTTTCTGGTATTTCTTGTGGACGTGAAAGTTTTATATATATAGACGCGTTTCCGTTTCCATTTGATGACGTTGCATTTGTAAAAGGAAAAAGGATTGTCATGTTGATAGGACTTGAAAATAAGAAGAGGTTTTTTTTTTACATAATTCCTCTCAACTGCAATTAGTTAATTTGGCTCTGAAAACCCTCAAATCACATTTAGCTATCATATAAAGAAATCGATTATTAAAGTTACGATTTTTTTCATCAACAATTGAACCTCAAATAACCCTTCTGCAGAAAAGTCGGACTTTTTGTGGATTTTGGGTGCACTCAAGATAATTGCAATAAAAAAACCATTATACAGTCAACCCCCATCTAATGGACTTGATTTGTGCAAGGGACGAGTCTGTTAGACAAAAAATCCTTTACACAAATTCAATTACATAAAAATTGGAAATTTCAATTTTCAATACTAATTTTAAACCAAAAGAAGTCTGTTTGGTGGATTTTGTCTGTTGGGCAGGAGGAAAAACTGCTTGCAGAGCTGGTCTGTTTGTCGAAAATCCCTTACATGGGATGTCTGTTAGGTGGGGGGCCACTGTAGTGTGTGCAGGGCAAAGTCTGGAAAAAGCCAGGCATTTTTAAAATTTTCCACAGAAAAGTTTCACTGTAAATTGAAAAAAAAACATTTTCAATGCTCATTTTTTTCTCTGGCCTTGTGTTGTTCACCTGTTCAAAGAATAAATTTAGGCTTGAAATCACAAAGCCCAGGTAAGAGGTCATTATAGAAAAAGTCTGACCTGGGACTTTCCCAGCATTTCTTTATCCCTGGATAAAATCTGACTTTGCCCTTCCCCATCACCCTGCAAGAGTTGCATAACCTCGGGTATAAATGAAATGAAGGCCCATTGGAAAAAAGTCCAACTTTGCCCTGGGATGCATAGGAGGCTGCCACCATCCAAGGGTTAAACCACCAATGTCTTTGCAGCCTGATTTTGGGGCAGTTCAACAAGGCTGGAGTTTTAACATGGGAGGCATGCACCTTCCTTCAAAATATGGGGGAAGAAATAAGAGCAAGGGAAGTTTTTTTTAAAAGCCAAATCATAAGTTTCATAAGAAAACCTTAGCGTTTCTTATGAAACTTCTCAATATAACTGGACAAATTGGTAGTCTGTGGAACAAAATCTTGGTGTTTTCCTTTCCTAGGTGGGAAAGGACAGTTTATGGAGGGAAAAACTATTTCATATGGATAGAAATTAGCTTAAGAAAGATATAAAAGTACTGAAATTCAATGAAGAGACACTTTCTGAAATCTTAAAGGATCAAGATAAACTGTTTGCCTTGTATGATTTCTCATCAAAGATTCTCTCTAAATTGTTCAATCAACTAAATCTCATACAGAAGCAAGCTGAGGACCTTGTGCTTTAAATAAACTTTTACTGCTAATGTGTTTTCAATGTCAAGAAATGGGTGGCTATATGCAAACATGTCAGATGTCCAGCTTTATTTTGTGGAGTGTGTTCTTTTTATTTTTGTCATTAATTTGTGCTTTTTTTCCTGCTTTGAAGTGTTTGAATGTCTTTGAGGGGATTTGGGTTGGGTGGGGAGGAGGTTTGGATGTGGGAGTCTTGGTTGTGCCTTGTGAATGCTGAAAAGCGGCAAATGAAGTGTTCTGTTCATTCATTCAAGGACCTGTTTTGGGGGGCAAACAACCTTGGTGGATGCCAGTTGGTGGCCTATATGGAGGATTTGCCATCCCTTCAACACTTGTCTGATTTGTTTGGGAAAAAATGTTGGCAGGAACCATGAGGGGCAGTTTATCAGTGGGCGGTTAAACAGAGGGTTTGACTGTAGTAGAATTTCTGCCAATTTTACATGCAGAGCGCATGGAATCAGTTCAAAGAAGCTGCATTTTTCTTTTCTTATCAAAGATAAATTGCCAAAAATGTTCTTAAAATCCTCAGAAAATCATAAAACATTCTGCCAAAGATCCAGCTGGAGAGTATATGCAATTACAAATCAGTGACCCAAGGCGCCCAGAACTAGGACAAGCATACAATGAAGCTGCCATTTTAAAAGTACACATGACAACTTTATTTTAATTAAGGGCTACTTTTTAATTATTGAGGGGTTTTTTTATATAAATTCAGCAAGAATGAAATGATTTTTGGCTTATTCTGGATGTATCTCAATTTTGAGTTTCAGTGAAAATGCAATAAAATTTGGAAAGCCATTTTCATAATTGGCAAAATCTCTTAGGTTTTCCATAATTTATTATGAATGAACTCTAAGCATGCATCATTTGAAGAAAATGGTCCAAAATAAGCCAGTTGCCAAAAAAATAATCGATCAGGTGCTCAAAATATTATTCATATTTTCACAAGGTAAGTGCTTGAGTGAATGGCAAAAATAAAATTAAAAATAAAATGAAAATAAAAGTAAATTAAATAGTGTTTGAGTAAAATGCCAGAACTTTCCAAAAAACCCACTCAAGATTTGCAAAAAAAAATCTTTTGGGATGTTTATCATCCGGGCTTTAGGATACGTATATATATGCTTGATGGGTGTTTAGGCTGACAACCTTCTTTCTCATCGAGACGCCCTGTCATTCGTGCATCCAATATCTGCAGAATAATCGTAATCTTATACACTAGCCTGGGTGTCAACGATTTCCAGCCCCTGAAGGATGATGATATCATGTCGACAATTTCTCAACATCTCGTGAATGTATTGCGTAGATGATGGAAACACAAGATTGCGACACGATATTTCCGCCATCAGCAGCTAGATTGATGGTGTTTCGCGTTTTTATTTTTCCGAGAAACGGTAATTAGTGTAGTCAAACGTGATGAGGTTGGCATTATTTGGACGACGAGGAATAATTAATTCCACCCCAGGCGACCATCCAGTTTCAATTTTATTTATTTTTTTTTTAGAAGAAAATAACGTTTCTCCCATATATCCTTGAAATTATACTCCGAGATTCAAATGAACGCCTTCAGCAAAATATATTTGCTCGCGGTGATCATTATTATGCACATTCATTGACGAGGTTTCACTGAATTCATTTATTAAAAAAAACTACATTATACATTGCAATTCCGAACTTCAGGAAACTGGAAATTTTCAAAACAGTCACCTGAACATTAGAAGGTCATCATTTAAAAAATGCAAATATCATTCCCTCTTTATAACATTTTTAAGATTTCAAATTCACGATTAGAGTTTGTTTTCAGGTTAATAAATAAGGCGAAATTTAAATGGCTGATGCTGGAATTCTCGCATTCAGCGGATTCTTTTGAAATGAAATGAAATGTGGATTTGATCACGCATAATGAAATGAGATGTGCATGAAATCTGAAAATAATCTGCATACAATGGTATGTGTGAATCGGATGATGCTGAATTAGTATTTCATTTCTCGGGTCAAGAATACGTATTGCAGTGACACCTGCATATTTTTTTCTGAAACACAACTACGCGAAGACCCTGTTGAATTGCCGATTTTGCTTCATGATTTTCAAAAACGCGCCACAGATAACAAAAAAAATAAATGCGGGCTGACAAAAATCATGCTGAGGCAACAGCGCACGTAGGTTTGTCATATTAAAAAAAATTCTAATGGTTCAATAATTTGCACATTTGAAAATTTTCAGCTCATGCAGAAATTTCAAACCTTTTTTCAAAAATCTGGGATAGTGTCCAAATAAATATTCATGAAAGAGCCCACAAACGGACACTTGACAAGTTTGTTTGATTTTTAGCCCTGAAAGTTACAGCAGTATTTACAGTGAGGCCACAAAATGTTGACACCCCAACAGAGGGACAATTCAACTTGGGGAGACTTGAAAATTAATAAAATTGGGTCCAAAATCTGGACAATATCTTGACATGCAGACACTTTTTCAGCATATCTAGAAAACTGCAAAATGTTGATTTTATTACTATCTCCTCCACATTGAGCTATTTATATTCACAGAATTTAAAAATGAATATCATTTATTTACTTGAATTTATATTGAAGATAACTGGCGTAAGATTTGCGTGGGAAAATCTTGAAAACAAAGGAAAATTTGCCTCCTGGATTTTTCCCAACTTATGCCTCCTAAACCTGGCCGCATTTCAATAACCTTGGGTCAAACTGAAATGAGCCACCCCAACAAAAATCCTGACTCCACCACTCACTGAGAAAGAACCCTCCACTGTTCAAGGGTTATAGTTGGTATTTTATGGAAGAATTATTCTTGGGAATTCCATGACAAAAAATTGATTTGCCACTTGAATTTGATTCAGTTAATATATTTTCTA